CATTCTCCACTATAGGTAAGGGGGAGAAGCCATAAACTGCCTGACATGCTAAAGTAATGACTTTCTGCACTGGTTACCATTCGTATGTTTTGAGATTTGCCTCACAGAACTAACCTTCCCATAGGTTGCTTCTGTAAATTGTCTTTCTAAGTGAATATTTAACCCATGCCAAGGCAGCAATGGCTTTTTAAATGTAAGCCAGCCTTCCAAAGCATCTCACAACTGATTTCTTTGCCCTTATTTTTGGCATGCATGTCCATGTTAATACTTTCGATTCCCTAACAACCTAACAGTTGTACATTTCCTTCTGTTTTCTAAAGCAATAGAGATTATCAGTCAGTCCCTTCCTTGCTTTTGCTGGCATAAAATATGCAGCCCCAGGCTTACCTCTGGACCTCACCTCTTCATCAGAGCAAGGCTTTCTTCTGGTCCAAATCAGGCCTATGAGGAGAAGGCTGCCCCTCCCTCCCAATATTGCCCTGCATGGGATGTAGAGAGCTCTTAAATGATGTTTTCCAGAGAATTTCTCTGAGAACTCAAAAGCAGTTGCCATGAAAGCAACACTTAATGTTTGTAGACGTCATTGCTCAAGTAATTACTAATACACGCCTTATATGAAGAAGACCTGGTATTTGAAATTTACCAAATACCTGTCAGTAGATTAAGATAGATATACAGTTCTTTATGACTTTGGGAATAAATTAAAATTTGATAGGCTAAGCTGTTTCTTCCTTGCCAGTCCCCAGACATTTACAGTTTACTCAGTTGGGTGCTATGTTGTTTTTGTTTGTTCATTTGTTTGTTTTTGTTTTTTTTAGTGCTATTCATGTATATGTGAGGATTCAGCTTTCACTTGATATAAATTACAATAGTTTTTCAGATTATGGTTTAAGAGTCAAAATTATGTAGGTAACTTATTGAAAGAATGACCTTTAATGGCTGCTTATAACTTAGCAAGAGAATTGCTTAAAAACACTGTCTATGTCACATACAGATTTAGGTCAATCTAAAAATTCAGCTCCAGCATTCCATTTAAACATCACAGGGAAGCTGCCATTCATTTCAAACATGGTTACCCTTCCCCCTCAAGCTGTTGGCTCATGTCTGACTTTTACAGCCTACCCATGGTCACTCTGCTTTCCTTAATGAAAGGAACAAGCACGTTTGCCCAGGATCATTCTTATAAACTTCCGTGGTCATTGCATGATTGTTTCATATTGGACACCATTGCCATCTTCCTCCTTCTTTCTTCCCCTAAATGTAGTGATTCTTTTGTCTCTCGTGCCTCAACAATACCGCACTCCCTCAGACTTCCAGCCTTTCGGAATGCCACCTGCCACCATACACAGGTGGACATATGCCAGCTTTCAAAAAGATTCATGGTCAACTCTACACACAAAGCTTTATTTTATGTAATATACAAACTTTGGAGATGGTTTCCTTTTGGTAAAAGTAAGTTTCTTAAGATTTATCCTTTTCAATCTAAATTGAAAGCAAAACACTACTGCTGTAGAATGAAATTTATCCAGTTATTTTTAAGATGCCCAAGGTGCCTCGTGGACAGTTGCTCTCATTCCTGTCAGCAGGGGTCTCCACCCCTCAGATGGATGGGGGAGCTCTGTTCTCTCTGGCAACCGGAGGCGCACAGGCGCCTCCTGGCTTAGAGGTGTGCTTTCTCACACAGGAGAACAGTGTGGAGTTTGAAGCCTGTCTGGTGGCCCAGTGTGACGCCCTCATCGACGCCCTCAACAGAAGAAAAGCGCAGCTGCTTGCACGCGTCAACAAGGAGCACGAGCACAAGCTGAAGGTGAGTGCTGCGCCGTGAGGGGAGCAGAAAGCCAGGGCGCGGGGCTCCCAGGGCTGTGGCAGCAAGGCTACACAGGGGATGCCCACAGCCCCGGGTGGCCAGTGGCCTGGCTGGCGAGGAGCGGGCCTATCCCTTCNATAAGAATGCCAAGTTAGTCTCTCTTCAAATAAAGCAATTACAATTTGAGGATACTTCATAGCTGCCTCTTTTGCCAGCACCAGATCTGCCTCACCTGAATCTTTCCATTTCATAAGGAACATCAATTCTCCACGGCTGTCTGTGGCACCAATTATTTGTTCAGGATCAAGACCTCTGCCAAAGCCTTTTGGTTTATCAGCAGCATACCTTTTCTTTGATTTGTTCTCATCAAACTCACTGTCAGATACAGATGTTCTTTTTGTACCATCTGTTTCCTTAACAGCTTTTTGAGAATTAAGAAATGCTTCAATTAACTCTGGACAATCTAAATTTTCTTCAGGTTCCCACGTATTGTCAACATCTGTGAATCCCTTCCACTTCAGAAAAGACTCTGCCTTCCTGTTGTACGCATTGGTCCAGTACTTTTACCACCACACATTATTCAGGCTCTGCCTCTTCAACTTTTTTACCTTTTCCATTATATTTCTTTCCCATTTTTTGCAATGTAGTTTTATTGGAGGCCATTTTTTTATTGCAGACTTGAAGAGCTATTATTCACCACCTCCAAGCTACTCCAGGTCTCGCATCTCCAATAAAGAAATCTTAAATTCTACATTTATTATTTTAATTATATTAAAAGTTTAAAAGCAATAAAAAATTATCTGTCAAAAAATTAGGAGACTCCAAATAGCCAAAACAATCTTGAAAATGAAGGACAAAATTGAAGTTCTCATACTTCTTGATGGTAAAACTTACTATAATACAATGCTACAATAATCAAAACAGCATAGTGCTGGCATAAAGACAGATACATAAACCACTGGAATTGAATAGAGAACCCAGAAATAAACTCTCACATATATAGTCAAATTATTTCTGACAAGGGTTCCAAGACCATTCAATGAGGAAAGAGCAGTTTTTCAACAAATGGTACTGGGAAAACTGGCTATCCACATGCAAAAGAATGAAGTTGGACCTAATACTATATATAAAAATTAACTCAATGTGGATCAAAGACTTCTGTGTAAAAACTGAAAATATAAAACTCTTAGATAAAATGTAGGGCAAACACTTTACAACACTGGATTTGTCAATAATTTCTTGGATATGACACCAAAGGCACAGGCAACAAGAGAAAATATAGACAAATTTGACTTCATGAAAATTTATAAGTTTTGTACATCAGAAAAAGATAACAAAAACAAACAACCCAATTAAAAATGGGCAAAGGGCTTGAACAGACATTTCTCCAAAGAAAATATTCAAATGGCGAATAATAGCACATGAAACGATGCTCAACTTGTCATTAGGGAAATACAAATTAAAACCACAATGAGATACTACTTCACACTCATTAGGATGGCTATCGTTAAGAAATAACAATAATAGTGTTGGTAAGCATGTGAAGAAACGGAAACCCTTGTGCACTGCTAGTAGGAATATAAAATGATCTAGCTGCTGTGGAAACAGTGTGATGATTTCTCAAAAAATTAAAATAGAGTTACCATATAATCCAGCAATTCTACTTCAGGGTATATACCCAAAAGAAGTGAAACAGAGGCTAGCATAGATATTTGTATACCCATGTTCGTAACAGCTTTATTCACAATAGCCAAAAGGTGGAAGCAACCCAAGTGTCCATCAATGGAAGAATGGATAAACAAGATGTGGTCTATACATTCAATGGAATATTACTCAGTTTTAAAAAGAAGGGAATTTTGACACAAGCTACAACATGAATAAACCTTGAAGACATATGCTAAGTGAAACAAGCCAGCCACAAAATGACAAATACTGTATGATTCTGGTTATATGAGGGTCCTAGAGCGGCCAAATCCATAGAGACAGAAAGTAGAATGGTATTTGCCTAGGAGTGGGGGGAAATGGAGAGTTGTTTAATGGATTAAAAGTTTCAGTTTGAGAAGATGAAAAGGTTCTGAAGATGGATAATGGTGATGGTTGCACAACAATATGAGTGTATTTAATGCCACAGAATTGTCCAAATAAAAATAACTAAAATGATAAATTATTGTTATGTGTATTTTATCACAATAAAAAAATTAGTCCTCCACATTTAAAAAAATTTAGAAACCAAAACCAGTAATAATGAATGGATGAATTGTGAAAAAATTAGGAAGAACTTAAATGTCCAAAAATAAGGGAACAGAAATGGTTACATAAATTATGATAACCCACTCAATGGGATATTTATGTAGCCAATAACATTTATTGATGGTGAACATGGAAAATGCCTATGATATAGTGTTCATGGGGAAGAAATAAAATTATCACATACTGTGATTGCAGCTATAAATTTAGCTCAAGGGAAAAAAAGTAAAAGGAAATATCAAATGCTTTAAGATTTGCATTAGAGAGGTGAGATGATTTGTTTTTTTTCCCATCTAATTTCCAATTGTTTTTGAAATCTGTGTGTAATGATCTTTATTTTTTTATTGTGAAATAAACATTTTTTTAAAATTAGTTTCAGCTGTACAACACAGTGCAATAGTTCTACTTTTTACCCCTCAAAGTGACAACCCCTCTCCCCCAATCCGGCGCCACACTTCCCCCACCCCCCCATATCATACATATCTATTACAATTCCCTTGACTCCACTCCCACACTATACTCCATGTCCTGTGACTATACATATATTAAATTATAGTTGACATACAATATTATACAATGTCAGCTTCAGGTGTACAGTGCAGTGATCAAGNTTATTTTTAAGATGCCCAAGGTGCCTCGTGGACAGTTGCTCTCATTCCTGTCAGCAGGGGTCTCCACCCCTCAGATGGATGGGGGAGCTCTGTTCTCTCTGGCAACCGGAGGCGCACAGGCGCCTCCTGGCTTAGAGGTGTGCTTTCTCACACAGGAGAACAGTGTGGAGTTTGAAGCCTGTCTGGTGGCCCAGTGTGACGCCCTCATCGACGCCCTCAACAGAAGAAAAGCGCAGCTGCTTGCACGCGTCAACAAGGAGCACGAGCACAAGCTGAAGGTGAGTGCTGCGCCGTGAGGGGAGCAGAAAGCCAGGGCGCGGGGCTCCCAGGGCTGTGGCAGCAAGGCTACACAGGGGATGCCCACAGCCCCGGGTGGCCAGTGGCCTGGCTGGCGAGGAGCGGGCCTATCCCTTCGTTCACCACTTACTTCTTCATTTACCTCACCAGCGTTTGTTGAGTGACTCCTCTGGGCCAGGAATTGCTTTGGGTGTAGGCATAATAAAATAAATAAAAATTCCTGCCCACATAGGGCTTATATTCTACCAAGAGGGATAAACAAGATCAGTAAGTAAAGTATCCAGTATATTAGTAAAACATGCTAAGAAAAAACATAAGGCAAAGGGGATGGGGAGCACTGGAGATGGGGGTTGAAATCTTAGACAGGGTGGTCAGAGCGACCACACAGAAGCATAATGGATTTCTTAACTGGGAGATGGACTCTGCACTTTCCAGGAAGCCAACAAGCTCTGTCTTAACTTCCAAAGTGAACTGCGCCATTGGGCGGCTGTGCAGACTTTCGTCATTACACAGTGGAATCAATTGATTACAAGTCTGGGGCCCTAATGGCAGAAGGTCCTCCTGGAGACGTCGGGTATCCCACCCATTGCTCCATTAGAGCAAGGCAGCAATATCTGAGAGCAGCCTGGATGAACAGGAAGGGCTCAGCAGTGGGCAGTCAGCAGAGGTCCACATACATGGTCAGTAAGCCTCAGGGTGGCTACCAGTGGGTGTGGATGTGTAGTATGCCGTGACAGCCTGAGATTGGGGTGAAGGGAGAAGTGAGGCCTGACCGTAGACTGTCTGTTGGGATTGGGCAGTGGCCATCAGGTAGCTTCAATAGTGGGCAGCAGTGAGGGGACACAACCTCGAGGGAGCTGGTGGCTCCCCAGCAGATTTGGAACAGGCTTTTCAGTTCCTGAAGGACAAGAGAAGGCCCCATTTCTAAAAACTGTAGGATTCCAGTAGGAGAACCAAGGAAGAATTTGAAAATGAATAAACAAGAGAGCATAGCTTACAAGATTTAGGACTAAAGCTTGGTGGCAGGGAAGCTTCAAACAGGGCCGGAACCCAGTTCGTGGTCACCAGGAAAAAAGGGCAAGAAACCAGTGGCTAATAGGTACGTGAGACCTGGGCAAGACCT